ATTGAAAAGTTCACTCCTTTGGATCGACATTTTTACTGAAAACGAAATAATGAGTGTTTAGGCAGATTTTGGCAGCCAATAATGAAATAACTCACAAGTTATTAACACACAGGTTACAATAAAAGCAAAACTAAAGGTTGATACGAGTGGATTACTAATTAAAACTTTAATAGAAGTTGGGAAATAAAACAAAATTTTACGATAAGGTACAATTGTACAAAAATACATTTTAGACTACAAAAAATACGATTTTTAACATATATTTTTAGTGGTATTAATTCTTAGACTTACGTTTTTCACCTTATCACCAAAAAATATTTGAAACAAAGTTTTTGTATTTTTGTACACTCACTTTACTTGCGCTGTTAAAAATCAACTATTATATGAAGATCAGCAGTTCATTTCATTTGCCTCTTTTAAAAGCAATAAATCAAAGCAACTACAACGAGTTGAGGTGAAATAATTGTACCGTTATGCACTGTGGACAATTGCAAACGTACCTCTGGCAAAATATTTTCTCCCGCTGTGCTCAAAAATTTAACTTTTTTCCGGCTAACTTTTTTCCGACTGTCAAGGATGACAGAATTGATTTCTCGGCCGAAACACCACAAAGCAGCCTGCCGGCTGAGCCATTTAACTACTTCGGCGAGGAGCTGATAAAGTGCATGCATAAACTCTTATGCAGAATATGATCATCCTTTTAAACGCCTCCTTCGATAGCTTGGCGATGTCTGAGTTTGGTATCGCCACGAAAATAAAACGACTATAAAAAATTACTTTCACCAATCCAACCAGACGTGTCCGAATTCGGAAGAACCTCTCCGATCCGTTTGTGATACCAAAGGAAGTTTCAGACAAGGCGACTCCCTGTCATGTGATTTATTTAATATGATCTTGTGGGAGATAATAAGGACTGTTGGAGCTTCACAACGATATATATATAGTACAGCAATTCACTTACCGATGATTGAGTCATACCGAGCAAATGGACAGAAACGCTCTAAAAGTATGCAACACGAAAGCTGCTGGTGTCAGAAACAGAAAAGTAAGGCGTCCACAGTAACGGAAATACCACGTGGAAAAGGTCTTGGCTTCATTTGACATTTCCAGTTGGCATTGGAGTGCTTTGTTGAACTCGGCCAAAAATCGCGTAGGCATTTACAACTCTCAACAAGGAAGGCAAGGACAAAGCCTAGTGTAGTATATGCCGTTTTGAAACAGTCTTCTCCACTGCTGCGTTTCTCTACTTCAATGACATCTAATTTTGTAGCGTGTACTTTTGAGATTTGAAAAATTTGTATCTGCAGCGTGTAAAACATGTTACCCATACATGTAACAACAACATTAAGTAGGACACGAGAAAGACCAAGAACGGAAGCAAATTGCAGATCAATTGTAATGATAGAGGAGTTGTCTTTGTTATCATATGTTTGTAGCTGGTTATAGGAAATTGTTGCGTTAGCCTACATACATATGTACATACCCATATTTGGTAATCTATGTAGTGCTAGTGAGTTTGAAAATCGCATTCGTATGGTGTAGAAGCACACAGTTTCATCTCGAATTTCATTGTGGTTTTCTTTGTTTATGCGCAAATTTCATTACAAAACAATGATGCTGCTGATGCTCTTTTAGCTTTTTCACTTCAATTCTATTATATTTCGAACATATACATACATACTAACTATATTGATTGGAAAGCTACACTTCAATCAGGCCATTTAGGGCACAATTTTAGGTGTACCAGAAACCACAAATCTTCAGCTCGAAATTTTAAGTCTATTGCTGGTAGAATGAGCAACACAAAGCATGAAAAAAACTAGAGGTACATACATATGTATTTCAATATGTATATGACAAGATAAAAACAATTTTGAGCGTACTTATATTTAGCAGAACAAATAAACCAGGGGACATTTTTTTCTTTGTAGATTCTGTTAAAATAGTATCGCGAATCTATTTCATCACCTTAAAAGTAGGCCCATTTCGTAATAACAAATTAATGCTAGCTAACAATCCACCGCACATCGGCCGCTGTGGTGTAGTGGTAAGCAGTGCGCGCTTTCACTCATCAGCACCTGGGTTCAAACCCTGGTCAAAGCAACATCGCAAAAAATATAGAAAAAAGGTTTTTTCTTAACAGCGGTCGTCCCTCGGCAGGCAATGGCAAACCTCCGAGTGTATTTCTGCCATGAAAAACAGCTTTTCATAAAAATACAATCGCCATTCGGAGTCGGCGTAAAACTGTAGGTCCCTCCGCTTTGTGTGACAACATCAAGGCGCACACCACAAATCGGAGGAGAAGCTCGGCCAAACACTAACATATGTGTAAGCGCCAATCTATTATTATTATTATTATTTAACAATCCACCTATCACATATTTTAAAAGGATTTTCAGGTGCCGACTTAAGTGCTTGTCTTATATTAATGCAAGACGTGTGCCTCAAAGCGATAATTTGAAATTTGACAGATAGAAAAGTCGGCCGGGTTAATATCCAGTGACTACGGTGGTTGTTTGCTTGGTTAGAAACCCAATAAAATGATAGCCTTGTGGAATGGTTACTATGCTGCAAAATCCAATTTTTTTTTGTACACAAATCTGACATTTTTTTCTATATTTTTTTTTCTTGAGTTGGACTAACATCTCTTATCTTACATATTTATCTTCGTACCTTGCGACAGGAATTCTTATTGTGATGAAAATATGCGAATAACGCGCAACTAACGGTGAGAAGCAACATTTAGTTGGCTTAATGGTATCACCACTAGTCCTCTTAGTCCAAAGTGGGTCTCCTTCTCGGATCGGGATGAGGACAGTCGCCATAATCTAGCCTAGCCAAGCCCAATTTAGCTCTTCATTGTTCTCGACTATATCATCAAAATCATTTCTATTATGTAGATATATGTATGAATGTGATTCTGCCCTCCATTTTGGTTGATTTGTGTGATCACCCTCTTTGCGGTGAAATTATTGTTTAACCGGCCATCAAGTTGAAAACGGCTGACCAATTTAAGCTGGCAAACTGGTTTTATAACGAAAAGGTTTCAGAAGTGCTTTAAAGTAAAAACAACTTATCTACATATCGTTAGCGTAATATGGAAAACTCCCTATCTCATATCGTCGCTGAAATACTGTAACTAAGTAATAATCCAAATGCATTTCATCGAATTATAAGTCCCCAATTCATTTTAAGCAATAAAAAATTTTACTCAGTTATGGCTTTTTTTTTTGCATTTCAGCGACTATATTAGTTAAGGCCTTTCTATATTAAGGTAACGATATGTAAGTTTCTTTGGAGTACAAATTAAATTGAGGAATTAAAAAAAAACTATTGCGTCAAACCTGAGAATTTTTCCTAAACAACGAGAATTTTGTGTACAAAATTTGTAAAGGACATTTTCCATACCCATTCGTCCTTATGCACCAAAAAATTTATTCTGTTATAATTCTACAGAATTTTTTCTTTTATATGATACCCATATTAATATCCTACATTGCACGGAATTTTAGAATAATATAATTGAAATAATGCTATCTTTCAAATTTCAAAGTCCTTTAGAAAAATATACTCATGTCAGAGAGTAAAACTAAGTGCGCAGTTTTACTATAATTTACCTGTAGTTTCGCGAATATATTCATTTTGTGTGTGTAAAATTTACTGTCGCACGGTGTAATATGGGTACCAGAAAAGAAAAAATTCCATATGTAGAATTTAAAAAAATTTCAGTATTAAATGACGACGTTTTTAATCTTATGTTTTTCTTATCTTTTCTGATGGTGTATTCAATTGATCCTCATAATTTTAGGATAGAGTCGGACCGACCGGTTTGGAACCGATGCTATATGGTAATGGAATTAAACAAGGCTTATCATCACATAATTTTTACCAACAACAACAATTTTCTAAACAAAAAACTAACTCTTTTTGTGGAATTTATTAATTAATAATTGCTATTTTAATGCTTCAAATTAGCTAATGTGTAAACTTTTTTTAAAAACTGACTATTAATAGGTACAAAAATACATTATTATTTAAATAGATAACCTGCATCAAACTACTCTCTATTCGAAATTTTTTTCTTATTCACTAGCTGAAAGATTAATTTATTTATAACATCTTTTAATAATATCAATATCTGTCTTTTACATACGACATCTTATTGGTCATAAACTCTGCTAAAAAATAATTCCGTTCCCTCTTTGGTAGTAGCTTGTAACAACGCTTGTTGCCGAACGATCATTGACCTCATTAGGCAAAACGATTAATGATTCTTTAGCAATGCCGCTAATCTTGATTGTACTATCTGCTGATCATGGTGTGTGGCGGCTGATTTTGAAGAACACCTGTAGCAAAGAGAGAATGAGAAGCAAATAAACAGTTGTGTGGAACAGAATTCAAAAACATATAACAAAAATTCTTATTTATTTAGGTCACTCCAATCGTTACTGTCCAATCATTACAATGTCGGCGATACACACTTAAAGCATTTTGCCATATTCAGAGCCTTAGAAATCTACCTTCGACAGTTCTGTTTTGCTTCTACATTTTTTATGCTTAAATAGAAAGCCAATAAAACTAAATTTTTGCATGCAATTTGTGCGGCACACATTACTAAGCATAATTAGACATGTTTATTTGTAAATAAAATATTCAGGAAACTTTTGCGCTTTTTTCTTATTTTTTTCTTCTTGTTGGTCAGATTTGATTCTGATCAATTATTTTTCTATTTGCCACTTGTGTGAAATGTAGTTTATAAAAGTAGCTGTGCGCCTGCGTACCCGTTTAGTCATGTTGTAGCAGCGAGATACATAATACCATAGAATTTGCAACGGATCAGGAAGGAGTATGCGGTACGAGTATTTGTTGCTATGCCTGGTGCTGAGCACCGGCATTTCAGTCGCGCATGTAACTGGTAACTATATAATATATAATATAGTTATAACAAAAAAACGATATATGTATATATCCATATATACTAAGTGATATTTCGTTTTTAGCCGCCGAGAAGAAAGTCATCATTGTCGCACGTTCAGCGGTCGCTCCGACGTCGGAGCCCATACAGAAGCCCACTGTAGCACCGCTGCGGACATCCACGCCGCTACCGCCCGTCGCTGAAATTAAACCAACAGTAGCGCCTACTAAGGCACCTGTAGCCATTGTTAACGAACCACCAAAACTTACCACGAAAACCAAGGAAAAAGAAGTTACACTGGAAGTGGCACCCGAAGCACACCCGCTGTCAGTCCCACCCACGACGAACGTGTCAGCCCCTCAGGAACAAGCACTGCCAAAGCAGACTAATCCATTGCTGGTGACCGGCTTCATCACAGAAAATGGCAACATTTATGAGGTCACCGACAAAAATGGCATAGGCATGATCGAACCTCGTCAGAGTCCGCAGAGCGACGACGCTGAACAACATGTCTGCAATTATGGTGCTATTGTTATCTATAGCGATGTACCCTGCAATGAGGCTAATGTACGCATTGGTGATGTTCATCATAAGGTAGTGAGCCTAGCGCATCGTGAGCAAATGCCCGAGGAATCGCAACAGTCTCCGATTGTGGTGCAGCAAGTGAGCGCAGACAAAAATGTCACCACCAGTGGCGATGCTAATGCCAACTCCGCCGATTCTCATGCGAATAACGATGATACCATCGGCGATGTCGATGTTACTCAGCCAAAGCCGGCAAAGAAACGCCGACGTGTCAATAAGAACTCCAGCAATAAGCGTAGACGCAATGGCTACGATAGTCGTCCAAATTCAGTGCGCCAAGGTAGTGGCAGTCGGCGCCGACAGCAAGCAGAGCAGCAACAACAGCGTCGTCGTTTGCAGAACAATAGGAATAAACAACAAAAGCAACGAAAACGTGTGCAACAACAGCAAGAAGAGGAGCCGTTTAGACGTCGTAGCCAGTATACCAATAGCAATGGACAGCGAAGACACGGTTCAAACAACAACAAAAGACGCTATGTTGTCTATGATGACTATGACTATTAGACCATGAATGGAGAGAAATAAGAAGAGACTTAACGCGAATAGGTTATGATAATGAGATGTAAATTTACGAATAAAATTAATGCAAAATATATGTATGAATAGATCAATGTGGTGTTCTAGTGTAAAACAGAAATTTTCGAGCATTAGTTAGAAAAATACTTCATTTCATTTCTGAATTGTTTTGTATGGATAAATATTTTTTAAGGTCTCCACTGCATCCGGGGGATCTATTGGTCGATTACACCCTTAGGAAACCTAATATATTGCTAGGCGGATTTGAGCGCATACATACATTAAGGTGCATCACTTTCCGTACACAAAAATGTCGTTGCTGTTTTTCCATCGGAATTATAAGATATATTAGACTCGTGCCGAAAAATTTCTGAAAAATATTGAGATATACATACATGAGCTGAACCGATTGGAAATTACCTCACAAAAATCATTTTTATTATAGATACATAAAAAAAAAATAGTTTTCAAAAATATTTTTTTTTTCAACAAAATCTCCTCAGGTGATAGAAGAGCTTAAGTTAGAAGGTCTGCATAAAAATGTTTACAAATGTTATCAACGGAATCAAAATAAATAATGAGATATTATAAGGTATTTTCAATTTGATCCAGCTCACGTAAATCTTAATACTTTTCTGAAATATTTTGGCGAAACTTCTATGGCCTTATTCATAAAAAAATAAAGTAGGTTTAAAGAGCTTTATAAATTGACGTTTTCATAAATTTTTAAATTTATAAACATTTCTTAAAGCTACTTTATTTTTTATGAATAAGGCTATTAAAATATAAAAATTTTATAATTCCGGTGGAAAACCCGCATTTTTTTTTTTTTTGGTGAGGCACCTTAATGTACATAAATGTATATTTCGGCTCCACGCGTAATATCCTTCGCATTTTTCCCATCTTCTGGGTAATGCACCGCATTCGAGGAGTAAATACATTTCGCAGAAATAAAATCAATCTTTCGACCAACTCCGGAGCTTTCTTAACTCAGTAGGCTTAGTAGTTGATAACCTCATTAAACCAGCAGGGAGCGCTCATTGAACAAACATTTTATTTATGCTCTAATTTTGATGCGCCGCTTGCTTGGTTGCTCCTCGTAAGATTCGCTCTTTTCTCTATTATCATTTTCTGAACTAGTAGTGTGGTGTAAAAAGCTCTTTCGGCGTTATTTCAAGTTTTGCGTTTGAAAAATGTGAGCGATACATATTTTATGCATCAGTTTATAAATCGGAGTGATGAAAATAAAAATGATGCCGTCAATATGAATAAACTCTTTAACATATACTCCTCTTGCAAATTCATGAGTGAGCCAAATATGTGAGGAGTTTATACATAGTGAAGAGATGGTAAATAACGCTAGCCTTCTGAGTGTTTGAAATTGGAGAGCTCTTAGAAAATATAATTCCTCAGATCGAGAGCGTATTGTGATATCTTTACGATCTTTGTTTTAAGAAGGTTACTCTAATATATCACCACCGACAACGTTAAAATATTGAAAGTGATCTACGAGAAAAAAAACTAGGGAACCTCTGGTATATACGAATTTCCGAATACACGGAAAGTTCCAGCCTTTGAAGACAAACCGGCTTAGGCGTTAGGCCATTCAAAACATGTGACTGAAGAAAGTACAACGTCGAAAGAGGTTAGTTTTCGATTCAAAGTACTTGGAAATTCTTGAAAATAAGGGTCACTAATTTATTATAAAAGGAGTTAAAGGGTAAAATAGTTCTGAAACAAAAATCTAACGTAAAATTTTACTTTAGGTCTGTGAAGACGAGAATTAGGTTTGAAGTCAATTTATACATAAAATTTCATACAATTGAATTTATGACTAAAAAGTGTAAACTCTAACCCACTGTAAAAAAGTTGCTCTTAGGGCTTCATTATTGCGATTGCTGAATACCCTTTGTGGTTGAGGTCCTAAATAAAATGTTCCACAGTGCAAATTCTTAAAGTTCTGCCTAATTTGAAAATAAATAAATTGCACGAAAACAGCTTAATTAGTTACCGGAAGTCAAGGTTTGGAAAGCTAAGTAAATAACAATGCATTAGCGAATGACTAAGCAGGAAGAACTATTCAAATAAAGGGACATTGCAGCACACAGTGTTGTGTACATATAAAGAGCTGGACGAAAAGGTGTTAAGAAAGACAGAATTAAATCCAATAAACTTTAGGTTATTTTGATGAATGTACTTCTGTCACTGAACTGCTGCAACTTTTATGCAGTGCGTGGCCCTTTAACTGATAAATATATGTACATACATACAAACATACTTAGTGTGCATCCTAGCCGATCGGGCTGCCCACTTGCCTCACGAGCCACGAGAAAATGCAAGGAGCTGAACGAACTGATACAAATAAAAATACAAACTCATCTGCATGCGAAATATGTATGTTTTCTTTTGTCTATACATATATGTATATGTTGTAAGGCCAACAAACCAACTGTCTGCCTGGTCAAATAACTGAAAGAAACATTTTTAAGAGGATTGAAGATAGACAGGCAAGCTTGCTGACAACTGCATTTCATACGGATAAAGCTGACTGAATAATAATAATGCAAATATGCGCCAGCAGAGTGGGGATATAGAAACGTTTTAGATTTATTTGTACAGATAAAGTGAGTAGATGAAAGCAAAGCGCAATGACTTTGCATAAAGGAAGCATGACTTGCTCGAGGGGGAGAGTGAATAGAATATTTAAAGTAAATCCGTGAAAGAAAAAAATACTTTAATTTTTTCCGAGAACAATTACATACTTAGCTTCACAAGTCTTTAAGAGTTTCAAGAAGTCTATTAAGTAGTTTCTTTTTACTAAATGCGAAGCTCAGTATAGAGGATTAAAACTTTATTTGTGAAAGGAAATTATAGCCTTGAAATTGACGAAAGAAACTCAAGTAAGACTGTGACGGCGACAGTATATCTCACTTATGCGGCAGCCATTGTCATACTGCGGCCCTACTAGCGTCAGATGCCGTCACCTACTTCAAGTGCTGGCATTTTGCAGCGCACACATCCTCACGCGTCACTCCCTGTGCACCGAGTCATTTGAGCTCACCTGCCCCGAGTTGCTTCGAAACGGCAGCAACTGTTAGTTAAATAGACGCTGTTAGTGCCGCTATGCTACTCTTTGTACTAAACCATGTCCTGGAATGCTGCGCTCTCGCAACTGTTTTAGTACATATCTATGTACATACATATCTAAGTGTGCTCAATTTTTATTGCGGCTGCGCATGGAATGCAATTCTCACCTTGAGTATATTTAGAAAGTTATTAATCGTGTTTCTACTCGTATTGACTTGGAATGCTGATGGCATTTGCAGTGATGGAATGTGGTGAATACTTGGTTTCTGTAGTATGTTGCAGATTCAGCAACTGTTACAATTCTGATACTGTTGGTTAACTGTCAACGCGTAGGCAGCCATTGTCGTTGGCGGCACCTAACATACATACATACATACATACATTCCTACGCTCTGGCATTGTTTCAGGTGAGTGGATATGTAAGAGTCTCTACCATTTGAGTGTGCTTAATTGCATTTGCTTGTTTGTGTGTGTGTGTTTTTAGTTAAGCTTATGAAAGTATGTGGAACTGTAATTACAGTTTGCGAATATGTATGACGCTGCCTACGCGATTATATTTTTTGGACTAAGTTGAGTGCCTAGCAGAGATACTTGAAACATTTAAAATTCAGGCGGAGTACGGGTGGCTTAATGTTTTGTAATAGTGCAGGCTGCTCCTCTGTGTTAAGGAAAGTCACTATATTTGTTGACAACCAAACGGCTTTCAAAATGTTATACAGAATGTAAAGTATTAAAGTCAAAAATTATTCGAAGATTTGACGCACCTGTAGCACCACTAAATTACGCATCCCTCTGCTAGGTTTCCGCACATAGCAATATCGAAGCAATAGACATGATTTGCAAATGCGAGGCGGGTGGCTTCCTACAACCACCGATTTATGATGGACTGAGGAACTATGAGCACGTTGTTTTATTTTTTGAATAAAAACTAAATGAACATTAATTTAAAAAAGAAGAAAAACTAAACGCGCTACGTTTCTAAAATGTTATTAAAATTAAAAAAAAATAATAATTTCAAATTTATTGAAAATTAAAAAAAAAGTTTTTTTTTCCAGAAATATAATCAAATTGAAAATATTACATATGTATATATGTATTTGTTTTTAAAACAATAAAATCTGAAAACAAAAAAAAATTTAATTGGAAAAACAACAAAATAAAAAAAAAATTAATGAACAAAAAAGTTTCCCAAAACTAAACGAAATTATAAATTTTTTTTCTTTGTTAAAAAATAAAGTCTGAAAATTAAAAGGAAATGGAATTAAATAAGAACGAGAAAAAATTTAATTTTAATAAAAGAAAATAAGTTTCTAAAAATCAAATCATAATAAAAAGGATATACTTTTTTTAAAGCATTCAAATCCAAAACTTAAGAGAACCTTAAATAAAAAAAATAAACTTAAAAATTTTCTCACGCGGACAGTGCGACACGACAGCCAAGAGCTGCCACTGTAGCAGCACTTCTCAAAAACTCTTTGAGGAATTTGAAATCTGTTACAACAAAAACATACATCTCCGCTTTTCTTAAAACTTGCCAAGGAAGCATTTTTCTGTAAGATTTTCGTGCCAGATTTAACAAAATCTTTGAAACTATTTTGCCTACTGTCTTTCAATTGCCTTACGAAAGAAACTAAACCAGAATTTCCCTGTTAATCTCACCTAGCCGTAATTATCGCAATTTATTTTTTTAGGTGTTCTTAGCAAGTGGAGGTCAGATTTTACTGGATGCTTCGAGTAAACCAGATGGAACAAAAGTAATACAAAAAAACTAAAATTAATTATTTAAAAAATTAATATTAATTAATTAAAAAAAAAATTACTAAAATGCCGTAAAGTTTCTACAATATCCTGGAAAATTTTCATAAAAATCTCAAAAACGCAAACGGTACAAACCATTAACA